TCACATCATGAGTTGAATCCAGATGTGTCAATCTAGAAACTGGAACTGAATTAATAGAAGTAGACTTTTCTACTCTCTACTCTCTTTTTCAGACACTATCTGTTCCTGCCCTTCCATGTTGTATAAAAATCTAAAATATTGTGATTGTATGCAGAATTTCCTCTTCCTTTCAGTTATTAGAATTTTAGTTTGTTCTATATTTCCCTTTGACTTTTTTAAACCCCATTCGTTCATTAAGTGGGAACACTGAAATTGTTATTAATATAATATACACATCATTAAAATATGATATTTTCCAATTTCAGCTCTACTAATAATCAGCTTCTTTCACAGCTAATATTTAAGAATGTAATAGCAAAGTTACTATATAGACTTATTGGAGGTGGTGACCCTTTGAGAACTGTATGCAATAAAATTTCATTTTAATGTATGCCAATTAGTGTACATTCAAAGTGACAATAAAGTTATTATTCTATTCTATTCTATTCTATTCTATTCTATTGAATATTAGGCCTGCATATTTATTTCACTTATGTATTCTAAAAAGTAATACATTCAGAATAGAGTTATCCTTATAAAGGCAGAACTATATTCACATACACATAAATTAATCATTTACCTCCTTTATACTGCTTGCTTGTATTATCTCACAGCAATGCATTTAAAAATGCATGTTTTTAATAGATATCTTTAATAACCAAAGATGACCCCTAAGAGAATAGAAAGAGTAGTTACAACTTAGATTGAAAAGATATTCATAAAAAAATAAGATGATGATTTCAGTTAAAAGAAGGGCATTATATGTTTTCCTTTCAAAAATGTACTTCTTTCTTTTTATCTCTTTTTTTGATTTTTGGATACTTTTTTACTATATTGAAAAAATCTAATAGAAATGAAAGAGATAAAGATAGAGATAGTAGAAAAAGAGATGTGTATACATAAATTTTGTGCCAAATGTAAACAACAAAAATACTCAGCCCCTACTCATTTCTAGAAAAATGTTATAAAAATTAGCTGTAATTATATTATATTAATGGGTAAAATATAAGGAGTATAAAACATCTACATAAAAACATCTACATCTACATAAAACAACAAAGATACAACAAAGATACATTTGACAAATTTTCCCACATTCAAGAATGGATAATTGTGAATTATGTTTGGTGGTGAAGTAAATGTATTTAAATAATTAAAATTTATCTTGTGCTACACATGTCAATAAATATATTAAAAATACATAAATGATGCATTTCTCTTTTTACAATAATGAGTAATCTTTGATTAAATTAGAGATAAAGTAAGCAGAATTAACTTCAAGATCCTTGTGCTGCTGACTACAATTCACTCTTTCATGAGAAAGAAATCTAGGGATAAATAAACAAATAAATAATAAATCTCACTAATTTACTTAGGGTGTGTGAATCAATCAGAACAAACAGGTTTTTTTTGCTGTTTTCCAGCTAAATCATAACCATAATTTAGAAAGCTTAATGAAAAGTATTATGTGACACAGACATTCATATAAGGTTATAATGACTTACAACATCTTATTCATCCAACATGTTCTATTTTGTTCTCCTTCGCTTGTATGAGATCAGAGATTTTATTAAAGAAATTTCCCTTTGGGTGTTATTAAAAAAAAGTCTTAGGAGATTTTGAGTAATGACTGAAGTGGGAATGCTCAACTCTGTTGAAATTTGTTATAGTATCAAAATTGCATTTGAAGTAATATAGATTGTGGTAATTGCCAAAATCCTTACTCAATATATCATTTTGTTATTAACCTATTCTATTTTAGATTATTCATTGGAAACAATAGGAGAGAAATTGACTTACTATTCTGCATACAGGATTTCTATAAAGTTCTCGTTACAAAAATAGGATGCTAGAATTGATGTATCACTACTCTGATTTATTTAGTATTTTCTCATTTTCATGTTACTAAGATCTAATACCATTGTTCATAAAGGCAAAAATATAAATTGAATTTATGATTGTTTCAGAACTATTATTGAATGAAGTCTTTGTCATGATTCGATCATTTCCTCATCCAACTGAAATTGCAGTTCAAGAATCTTGCAAGGTGAACAATTCAGATGGTCACTCTATACTTTTATAGCATGGCTTCCTGTAGAACTGGGGAGCTGACTAGCAAGCATAGAAAGGAAACACTGGACTTTCTGAATGTGTAGACAATCTGCTGAAGATTATTATCTTCAATCCCTTTAGTTTTCAAGGACAGAGTTTGAAAATAATTTTAAAAAATAACATTCAGAATAAAGCACAATGTTCTGACAACCATAGTCATTCTCCTACTCTCTTACTAACTTTTCCAGCTGTGGATATTTAAGTAGTACCTTTTTTTTTGTCTGGGAAGTACACTGTTTCAAATTCAGGCAAAATAGAAGAAGGGCAGAATTGATTTTCATAGGCTTGATAACAGTAGTTTAATGGTTTATTAGTCTTTAATTTACTCTAACACCACATCCTCATACTTTTGCTTTTGTCACAGTAGATCTTATTCTCACATCTCACATCTTTTCTCCTGAGATGGTTTTCTTAAAAGGAGGCTACAGTTCTTCCTTTACTAATCTTTTCTTGTGTTGTATAATTAATGCATTACAGAAACCAAGTTTTAACTCTTCATGGAAAGGTTCAAATCTGGCAATTAGAGCAATGGCTTACATTTTAAAGTGAGAATCTGACATGTGGACTCTGATAAAGTAAATGAGATGCTCTCTAGTATGTGTCATTTGTGGACTTGTGCATGATGGACTTGGAGCTGGTCAATGATTCATTGCAAAAGGGAATTTTCTGAGAGCCATTAAGGAAGTTGTGATATGCCCTGTATTTACAAGATTCTCCCTGAATCAAGTCAATTTTGACAACTTTCAAAGGAATGGTATTAAATGGAGGGAAAAATATACAACTACAAGACTCCTTAGAAAAAATGGATTATCCTTTTGAATCTGGATCCAGGTATAGCCAGAAGATAGAAATGCATTGATACTTTTGCCAGGAATTCAGTCACAGCTGAATCTCTTCTGGTTCCCTTGGGCTTCTCAGCAACATTTACTAACATCATTCATCATATCATTTCTTAATGCCTGCAAAAGTTTTAGAGTGGAAGTGGTCTTTTATGATGATTTACTCTGAAATTTGGTGATTACAGTGAAAATATAGAGTTGGTGCTACTCACATATGGGATGTCATAAGAGTCAGGTGTCTCTTTTTTGCTTAATTAATTAATAGATATTTGGGACAGAACATCCATCAGTCCAGAATCCAATATCAGCATTACGCTATATACTATATAGACCCAATTTTTCACATGACTAGGTCAAACTAGTGATGGAGTGGAAATGGCATGAAATAGGTTAAAGACGGATCCAAGTAAGATAGAACTTCTGTTAGCTAATTGAGATTCTGCAGTGTTGTCTTTTATGGAAAACTTCCTAAGAAAATAAATCTGTGTTTTTGGACTTATCTTTAATTTATGGATATTTCTTGGTAAAAAGGTAGAGGCCATACCCATGAAGCATTTGTTCAGCTTCAGCTTGTGTGCCTCTTGTAATCCTTCTTAGAATGAAAAGTCTATGCAAAGTCTATTCATCACCTTATCGCCACACACATAAACTATTCCAATATGCTTTATATAGGGCTACCTTTGAAGATCATTTGGAAGTTACAATTGAACAGTAATTGCTAAATGTCAGGAGTATATTATACTAATGTGCATGGCTCTGCACTGGTTACCACTAACCTTCCAAATCAATTCAATTATTGGTTTTAACCTACTGTATAAGTCTGATAGAGTTTAGCACTAAAGTAACTTCTCTACTACAATTAACCTGTTCAGTATGTTCACAATTGGAGAAACTCCTAGTAATCTCCAAATTTAGGAGATAAGGGACACAGTGTCCTCCTGTACAGCATAACCTCCCTTGGGATATTAAATTAAATAAGCCTTGGGGAGTCTGAATCTTTATTCCAGAGTCAAGTGTTGTGGCAGAAAAAGGATAGTTCCTGAGTCATGCTTGAAGACACAGTTCAGTCAATGGAAGCTTAAACATTACAAAATAATTATACAACAAATGGACAAAAACCATTGAAAGACAAATAGTTTCTTAAGTAACTAAGTCCTATGCAACTTCAATTGTATTTGGAAGTTTACTGGTAACCAATACAGCTTGGATATGAGGGAAACTACTTGGGCATAGTTGTTCAAACCAATGCATTTTGCACAAACTGCAGCAGAAAGACTACTTGGTTTTAAATTTATTTTGAAATTATTTCATCATCAATTTTTAATTAGAATTGTAATTTGTAATTTGTTTTGTAAATGTCCATATATATGTAACTTGAAATTTTATGTACTTAAGTAAAGTTTATTCAAACATGTTTCAATTACAGCTTTGTTAGAATTCTTAAATGCCATATTATTTCATAAATATTTTGTCAAAAATGTTGATAGAAGCTTTTATAATAAAAATTCCACTAGCGGATCATATGATCATCAGTTCTACCACTCTATTGATAAAAAGTCAAAGCCAATCACTAAAAGGAATAGTGATAAGTGGGAGAGGAGAAACTTGAGGAGTGCAGATTGTGAAAACATTAATATGAACTTTACTCATACTTAAATCACTGAAACATAATATTTAATATAACAGAAGTAGACTAGTATTAAATATTCAGGAAGCAATCACCATGAACTGTATTTAATTTAATAATTTAATATATTTTTTAATGATTGTATTTAATAATAAAACTAAATTAAACATTTTCCATAGTCCTTTTCAGTTTTTGACCTGATCTTCTTATCTTTGCTGGAATATAATCTAACATACCATTCAAAGCCCACATGCAGCAAAGACAAATAATAGTGACAAGAAAAGTATTTTGTACAGTCTAATTTCTATTATCATTCAAATTAATTAATTTTCTGCTCATTTGTCCATAAAAGGAAAGAATATACTTAGACTTCAGTCTCCAATTCACAAAGGGAGTTTCAGAATATGTGCTATCACCTTTTTCATGGCTTCTTTGACATCTTTGTTTCTCAGGCTATAAATGAGAGGGTTAGCTATGGGTGGCAGGACTGTGTAAAGGACAGAAGCTAGTTTATTGAGGTTAACGGTTTCAGTTTTTGGTATTAGATATACAATTATTAATGCTCCATAGAAAATAGAGACAACAATCAGATGAGAAGAACATGTAGCAAAAGTCCTTTGTCTCCCAGTAGTGGTTGGAATTTTCAGGATAGCAATAATAATATATGCATAAGATGTTAGTGTCAAAAGAAAAGGAGGAAAAGTAAAGATGAATGAAACTACTATTGTAACATTTTTCACAAGGTTGATGTGATTGCAGGAAAGTTTTACAAGTGGGAGAGAATCACAATAGAAGTGATCAATTTCATTTGGACCACAGAATTGTATTTTTAAGACCATACCTAAAAATATAGATGTAAATACCATGCTATTCAACCAAGAAGCAAGAACTAATTGAATACAAACTCTCATAGTCATAGTTGTTGCATACTGGAGAGGCTTGCAGACAGCTAAATATCTGTCAAATGACATCACAGAGAGGAGGTAGCACTCTGTACTAATCAGGAATGCGAAGAAATATAGCTGGGTAATACAACCTGAAACAGAGATTTTCTTGTCTCCTGTCAGAAGGCTAGCTAGAATTCTAGGCAGGATGGTTGAGCTGTAGAAAATCTCTAAGCAGGACAAATTTCCCAAAAAGAAGTACATTGGGGTATGCAGACGTTGATCATTCACAATAAGAAGAATAGCAATAATATTGGCAGCCATGGTCATGATATATATTACCAAAAGAAATAGAAACAGAAAGATCTGCAGATGATGAAGTTCTCCAAATCCAAGAAGAATAAATTCTGTGATTTCAGACTGATTTCTCCACATTATGTTCCTTATAAGTTAATGTTGGTTCCTGAAATAATTTTTAAACATGAGATTCCTAAGTGATGTTTATATTTCTAGAAGTATCTGTCAAAGATTTCTTCCAATTGAAGAAAATAATTGATCTATAAAAATATTTCAAACTTTCCTTTCAGAATGGCACATGAGAAATTTGGCTTCCATTTTCCAACTGATTCCCAGATAACACATGAAAAATAAAGCTTGGAAAACAACATGGAAACAGCATGCTATCATTAAGCAGAAATCTATTTCAGAGAAAAGGAATCTAGCTAAAACTTAAAAGACATTTTAAATGAATTCAAGGATGAATCCAATTATTTTTATGCTGTGTTAAAATTGTTTCAAATAAATGTATACATAACTGTCATAAAAACTAGTGGGAACATATTAAATAAATAAAATAAAGTTAGGATGCAAACAACAAAAGAAGATTCTAGTTTTCTCATTGAGAAAATGTGTTGTTTTTTTAATCCAATTAGTAGACTAATTAAATTATGAACACTCTTCATTTCGGCACAGGTTGGTCATAGAATAACCTGCCTGTCCCTCTTTTTCTCCATAGTCTTTATGAACTGACCTTCATCCTGGCATATAAATTTATCTCTCTTACCTGGTATTACCATCAGGGTTAATTTTTAATATCTATTTTTAGCATTTGTCCATAATTATAGGATTTATATTCAGTTCATCTGAGGATAATTATTTTAAATCACATTTACTTGAAATATTTTAAGGTACTTTTTAACAATTAAACATTCTTAGTAAAGCATTTTAAAACAATAGGTGATTTAGAGCTAATAATAAAAATATATTATTTGTAAGGAGTATGAACAAGACAATATGGTACATATCTTTATCATGGTAAATTTATTTACTGAAATTACCTATAGTCCAGGAATTAAAGTGTACAGTATCTTTCTTTTGCCCATTTGCATGAATGTAAAAGTACTTGGTATAAGTCTGTTCCTCATTCTTTTCTTTATATCTGATACCATATCAAACAAAACTCTCCCATTGGGAAACATTTGACATCAGTAAAAATAGTTGGCATCACAAGAGACTAATTCTCAAAGAATGCAATAGGGACAATTATTAGTTGTAGTCTGTGGAAAAATCTGTAAATATGGAGTTGAATGTAGACAAACAGAAAATGCCTGAATAAAACCAAGAAAGCACCGATTTTTTTTTCACTCAATAATGGATGCTGGATGTTGGACTTGGGTGGGCTTTGACCTGGCTCACCAATTTTACCATCTTACCAACTCCATGAGGATTGTTTCCACCCCCCCCCACCCCTTTTTTGGTTTTTCACAGCCGGACTTGTTCCTACCGAATGATCCACAGGACGGTTCTGCTGGCTCTGCGTGACTCCCCCGCCGCGCAGACCTGGCCCAGTACACTCTCAAGGGCCCACCTTGATGAAGGGGTGTGGAGCCCCGAGAGGTGGTGTGCAGCAGTAATTTGTGGGAAAAAACCCAAATTGGTTAGGTTTTTAGTGGGGTGTTTTGAGAAATTTTTAGGGGGTGTGGGGGGGATAGGGTGGGTAGGCCAACCCATGCCATGTCGGGGGGACACGGCACTAAAGTGATCAGGGGGGAGGTTGGGGGACCAGGGGAGGGTGTTGTGATAGGTACGGTCAGTGGGAGGGGCAGATATGGCGGGAGCAGAGGACCATATCGGGTTTTGGG